CACTGACATTTACATCCAACAAAACATGTTCGGTCATTTCACTGCAGCTTCTACGAGGTTCCTGTTCGTGTCGCAAAATTGATTCTCTGTTGTTTCCTTTGCAGCCCTTTTTTTATGTTTTCACTCTGAGACTCCTTTGCAGGAAGGCAAAGCATTAGCCATCCTGCCCACTAGTAGAAGCACCACAATATGTGACGGTACAGAAGCTTGTCAGAAAGCTCTATACCCAAATTACGTATTACCAACAGTCCTACGGACCTTTCCAGAGCTCACACACTGATAGTGATAGGTAGCTTGCCTTGAAGTTTCTGACATTGTATTGGTCTCTTGGCTCTTGGCAATAAAACACCTTCAGGAAAGAAAGTAAAATGGAGGATTAAGCTAGAGATTTATTTGGCCGTTTCCTCTTTACTGCCCAAGTCCACCTCACGCTTGGGAGAAACAGGGAAGAATTTTCCTCATTATAACTCTTCTCTTTCATCTGTCCTTTCATTCTGATGGCACCTTTCTCAAATCAGGACCATACTAAAATTTGCTTTATAGCTCTAGCTTGGCTCTCCTTGATTACAAGCAGGCATGTTTGTTTGTCTTGGTTTCCCAACATTTGCCTGTGTTGGAATTGCACAAAATATTGAGGCAGATTTACACAATTTTTTATTTGCAGAGTCCACTGTTGATGGTATACATGGACTCAAGCTGCCTTAGGGAAAAACGGACAGAGACAGGGAAAAAAAGTAGGCAGAGGGGGGACTCTCCTCTGTGATGGGATCCCCAAACGTCCTTCTCCAGGTCCTCTCTGCAGCGCAGCTGGAGGTGACAGGAGTTACAATTTTTACCATGCTCCCTCTCTAGTACTACAGACATTTCGTCATGCACTCCCAGTATGTTGTTCCCACCTGCGATGGCACTAGCGCTGCGTGGCGCACAGTTAGACAGCAACGTGCAACTGTTGCACGCTGTTAGGCTTCATGTGTGATTGAGTCACGTTTATTTAAACTACTATTATGTACCATTCACTAAGTTTTTTCAGGGTAGAAAAGGGGTGGGGAAAGAGGTGAATCTCACACCAGTGAAAATCGCTGAGAAATCCACTGCAAAAAGCTGTACTGAGTTGGCAGGGGGGCACAAAGAAGAGGTGAATCTCACACCAGTGAAAATCGCTGAGAAATCCACTGCAAAAAGCTGTACTGAGTTGGCAGGGGCACAACAGCTGGTGCCTGAGGTGCCATGAGAGCAGGGTAACAAGGCGGGAGCAGTTCTGCCTCAGCAACTCCAGGGAACGCCGCAGCAGCTCCGACGACAGGCTGCAGACCTGTGAGCCAGGGTCGGGCTACGAAGCGGCGAGCAGCTGGCCCCCGGCATCCCCCAAGTCAGGGGAAGCCAGGCCTGGGCAACACGGAGGACCGCAAACCCCTTTGCCGCGAGCTCTCTCGGCCTCCTCCCGCACCGCCAGGCCGCT